CCTTTCGGTGTGGCTTTGCTCCTTGGAGCCCCACAAAGCTCTAACCCTCGCCATTGCGGCCTGCCGTTACCTGCCCTTTACTCCTGCTTCTCCTTGTATAGTTTTAGAACTTTAATAAAGGGGAAGTATCTTGTGGGTGTCTTTTTGCTTCGTTAGGGTGTCTTCGTTTTTAATACGTTCACTGTACCGTGTATGCAAATACTTGTAATTGGTTTTACAAGGAAGAGTAGGTTTGAAGCTAGGTGTACTCACTCTCAGTTTTTTTCCCCCCAGGTGGGGGTTGCGCAGCATCAAAGATGTCATCCAGGTGGGAAGGAAGCCTGCTGACCCCCGGCATGGCACCCTTTTTCTAGCAAGGATGCTCCTCAAGCCCTGTCCTAGATCCTGTGCTCTCTTCAGGCCCTTCCAGCATAGTTTGGTTGTACCAGAATGAGCACTTGGATCTTTTTTGGGCTGCGTCCACGCTGTGAGCAGAGATGAGCGCAGCCCTGTGTGCTGGGCAGATAAAGCGAGGGGTGGGAGGGACGCTGGTGAGGCGGGTAGCGAGATTAGGGCTGAGGTCAGGAGCCACCAGTTCGGGTTTTGTGTGTGGGATTGTTTGTGCGTTTTGTTTTTTTTTCCAAACTGTCTTTCTGTTCAGCTGCATGTTGTGATGAGGAGTCAATGCATGATGTGTCCATTTCGCTGTGTGCGTTTACCCCAGTGGAGAGGGCTAAAGGAGGTGCCTTTTCTGGGTGTGCCTCCTGCAGGTGCAGTGCTGGGGAGTCCACAGTGACCTGTGTTGACATCAGCAGATGACATCTCCTCTCTCTGCTGTCAGTTGCGTCCAGTGTTCGTACACTTGCTGTGTTTAAACTGCCATTTTTTAGGAGCCCTACATTTGTGGGCTTGGTTCTGTCTCCAATTGTTCCACTACTAATTAATCCAGTGTTGGGATTACTTAAATGTCAGTGATTTAGATGTATCCCAAAGCATGTTGGTACTTGATCTAGTTTTGTGGTTTGGGGAAAAAAAAGCTCAAAGTTGGTGTGACAGACAAAACACACCGTACTGTTTAAGTTACGTAGCTTTCAGGTTCATGTTTTGATAGAATGTTTGGTATTTATCTTACTAATTTACTAAAAGCATCTGAGTTTCTGACTAATTCCATCAAAGCAAAGATTATATGAAAGGCTTTATCAAATAGTGAAAGTAGTTATTTTATTTTTTCTTGGCAATTTCCAAGGGGAGAAATCAGTCTTGAAATTTCACTGCATTAAGCAAGAGTCTGTTTACACTGTCCTTCCAAAACGGAAGGATCCAGTTATGGATGAGATTCTTTGATGGAGTTCATTTTTACATTTTACCTAAAAGTCAGGTTATCTTGGTGTCATCCGAAGGCATCAGGTCAGTGATTGTTCAGCCCGGTCTCCACCAATGCCGTCCAACATGGCCGGAGCTACTGATATCAAATGTCAAACCCCACTTCTAGTACAGTACCTGTCCATCCCGCTGTTGCCTTCGAAGAAGGATTCACCTAGAAGTGTCAGGACATCAGTCATGGGTTGTTTTCTTTTTCACCCTGAGTTTATTTTTGAGCAATTGTAGTGATTCAGAGGAATGGCTGGAGCTCTGAAGAGTTTTGTTGTCAGAAGAGCAGACTCTCAGGACCCAGTCCTTAGCCATGCCGGCCCTTATATTCAGTCACAGCTTTCCAAAAGGCTGAGAGCCCTGCAGTGTGACTCTCTTGGAGCAGCCTTTTTTGAAGCTTTTTTTTTTTTTTTTTCCTATTAATTCCCGGAATCAGTTGGGAGCTGATTACTGAGCACATCTACTTCTTTCCTGGGGCCCATCATCCAAGGGCAACCACTTTGGGAAAACCTCCTTTTATTTGAGATTTTCTCGTCTTGCCTGTTTTTGTACTTCGTCTGTCTCGTGTTGACTTTTGTGCACATTGTGTTGGCTGGAACTTTCTCTGCTTTCGAGTGTGAAGGAAGCCCTCAGTGTTCATCTGGGAAGCATTACTTTTGCTTTTGAAAACATTCCTGGATTACCATGATACTTGTAAAGTTTAGAGGCCAAGTGTAACGTATTTGCTGCACACTGGTATTGAGCCTTTTTTAGAGACCACGTAAGCTTCATTAATAACAGTGGTGACAGGCTTGCTATTAGAACCACGTCAGCTGGGAGACCTGCATCTGAACTGGGAATTGTCGTGGGACTGTGCTGGGAGGGCTTCGCACCATTGCTGCTCTTTTGCACCCAGTGCATGAGGCCCACTTAGACCAGATGCTGCAGACATCTGCTGCACTTTTTTTTGGTAACTGATCATTTTTGTGTCTCCTGGCACAAAAATCGATCCTTGACCATCAGTGTGTAAAGTTAGTGTTTTACATACTCTGCACAACACAGACCAGTTGTTGGTGTCAGTAGAGGATACGGTTGACTCTCTCCAGCATGGCATTTTTGGGACACATTTGCATCCAGAGAAGGCACCTCATCAAAATCATCTGGAAGAGATGTGTCTTTTTGCAGATTTTGTTTTTCTCTGATTTTTGTCTGAGGAGGAATATGGTTGTAGGTAATGTGGGAATCAGCAGCAGTGAATCAAATACACTGGTTTTCTAACCCAGTTTCTTTTCTCATCCACAGTCTGAATTACCAAGATACTTAGGAAGCATGTATTGAACCTTTCCTCTTGCAGATGTGTAATAACCACCCGTCTTGGTGGTTTCAGCTCAGTTGTGTAAATATTCCATTTGTGTAAATGCTTTTTTGGTGTCAATGCTGGTTTACACAGTTCCCAGCTCTGGCTGTTCTCTTCCTGTGCTGCCCCTCCAGCTGGCTGGTATAGCTGGTTGGGGGACTCTGGATGGAAACTTACCGGGGTTAAAATGATCTTTTTTTGGATGGGATCATCTGTAATTTGGGTGAGTTGTTTGATCTGGTTCATGTGTAGTTTCACAACTGAGCAACTGGAAGGGAGGTACAAGAGTAGGACTGAGGGAGAGGAGATGGAATCTACTGAAGCCATTACTTCTGCTGAAACAACTGGACATGTAACTGTGCCTTGAAAAATGGAGGTGAAGGACCTGGGTATCAGTCAGTGCTTGATTGTTTAATTGCATTAAGATACGGGATATTTTGGTTTTCTTATATGCATTAGTTTGACCTAGGAGTCCCAAAGTGTGTGGACAAGATTTCATTTCATGATAGAAATGTGCTGATTAGATGGTACATTTTTGCAGGCATATTTTTATTCTGTATTTTAGGTATCATTTCAATAAGCTTTCCAGCTACCAATGTAAGATTTAATGATCTAAAGTGCTGTACCACAGCTCAAGAAAGCTTTGTTCTCATCTTTCTTTGTTTATAGTGTGGGCGCATCAATTGCTGTCCCCCAGCCTTCTGAAGGAATAGTTCCTGGGGAAAATACTCACCTTTTTCTTGTATAAGTGAGATTGTTTGAAAGTAAAGAACAAAGATGTTCATCATCCTTTTGGTTATTTGCATCTATGTGAAGATTAAATACAGGGACATCTGCATATAAATTATTTATAAACCAATCTTTTGACATACTAATGATGTCTGTCTGCCTTGTGTTAGTTGGAATATGGTCTGCATTGTCTGTTGAGTTTGGTTTGGTTTAGACATGTGAGAATGCACTCGCTTGCTTGCTTTCTGTCTTTCTCAGTTTTATTTATGCATGGTGGACAGTACTGTTTTCTAGTTACGCCATGTCCATATTGCATTAGCAGGTATATTGACTGCATTGTCGTTTATTATTTTCAGGCACGTGGCCATGGAGGCTATGATTCTGATTTTAGCGATGAGGAGAATGGGGAGAAGTCTGTGCAAAAGACTAAAAGGTAATGTAATACAGAATTCACACTTCGTATTATGTATTTTGTGCAAACGGCCTATTACTGTGTATAGAAGATTATGCGGTGGTACGTGAAGTCTGGTGTTGAAATGGTTTTTGAAAAATCAGTCACTTTGGTTCCTGCAACTCCTCGTGTCAAGCTTGCCAAAGCATGCAGTCTCCCGGGGGCAGCTGATTATGATCCATTCTGCCATGTCCATCTGGTGTCTATATGCCCCTCAGTTCTTGGAGCAGAGTGTTTCATTTTTCCGAGCATTAGTATTAACTGCTGGGGTTTGGCTGCGCTGTTCACTTCACTGTGACCCATCAGGACACGTGGAACTTCTGAAACAGCGAGGCAAAAAAGGCCAAGTGGTGGCAGGCTTTGTAGATGTAAAACACCTGCTTGGAGGAAGTGAAAAACTGATGCTTCTTGTTTATTACTTAGTTTGTGAGGAGACCTGGGAGTTGGTGAATTGTGTTGTACTCAGTCCTTGAAATTTAACTGCATGTCTCTTATTTGAGATCACCTTTGCCATTCTTTCAGTGGTTCGTACGATTAGTGACCTTGAATTGTGTAGTCTGATCTCATTATTAAGATTTTTATTTTATTTATGGTTTTTTTTTTTTGCTTTGGCACCATAGTCCTTCAACACTTTCTGCACTGTACTGAACATTTTGCCTATGTTTTATATATATTTTTCTTACCTTTTTCTGTCTCTTCCTTGGTCTGTTATTGGACTTTATTTAAGAGGGCTTTCTGGAAACTTTCGTAGGACTCTTGCATATTTTCCTTGGTAGTAACATTGAAAGAATGGGATTTGTAGTGTCTGCATTCTGGGAAGAAAATTTGTGTTTTAATCATTGGAATAATAGCAGGCATTGTGGTGTTCCATTTATTTTATAAATGTAGCTGTTCTCCATTAAAACAGTGACTGGTTTTGTTTAGTTTTCATTTTCTTTTAAAGGCCATTACTCATTATGCCATTCCAATTTCTAGGTGGAATATTAGCTAACCATCAGGAGCCTTTCAAAAATACCATCATTACCCTTGTTCTGGCACACTGCTGCTGATTCCCCGTAGGGCTCTAATGGGGGTTTACTGTATATGTATATATCCTTTTCTTGCTGTGTGATGATACTTATTTTCACTTAAGGGAAAGAATAGTCTCAAGTTTTCTCCATATTGCTGTTGTATGGAGTCTCCTTATGGGAATTTTGTGCCTACAGATTCTTTTGAGCAAATGATACGCTTAGTTTCTAGAGTCCTATATTCCATAGCTTGAAACATAAATTCCCTGGCTCACTTTCTACAGGTTTCTGACTTCCATGCTTTCTGCCAGCTAGTAATTATGGAAAAATCTTTTATTCACCTCTATTGAGAAATGAAACTAACTAAATATACCTTTTACTAGCTACAATACATCACTTTATATTTAACTTTTTATTACTTCGTTGAATTCTGAAAGTATTTGTAGCTGCCCACTGACAAGTACAGTTCACAATGCAGTACTTCAGTGTTAAATTGGCGATTCTTGTGATTGCACTAAGAGAGGCAGAGCTGTTTAATGAGGTGTGGCATGAAAGGATGGGGTAGGGTTACTAGCAGTCACTCTTACGCAGTGAACACACTGTCCTTCCTGTTCCTGCTTGGCTGTGTAGCTGAGATTTATAGAGGGCTTTAAATGTAGAGTGAAACTGAGGAATCTTCAGTGTTTTTTCATTGTGGTTCTATAGTGCTAATATTGAAAAAAAATGAATGTTACAAATTTATCTTCTAAGCTATTTTCTTTAAATGCTAACTGTAAGCAAATGCCTTTCCAATTTTGTTCTGCAAATGAAGTAAAGTCTAAGCTGATGTTTGTTCAGAAGTTTGGTTTTATTGGTGTAGAAACTAGCAATATAACAGTTTTTGTTATTCAAGTTAGTGCAGAGTTTGGCGTATGGAAATTTTATTGCTTATGAAAAGTTCTAGACTAACTTTTCTTCCTTTTCCCCCCTACCTTTAGTATAAAGGAAGATGGCCTTCTGATAAAGCCATTCCAAAAAGTGAAACAAGGCAGTGTTGTTCACAGACAATTCGCAGCTGAAGAATGGGACAGGTATCTTTTATCTGTTGCTTTTGTGAGGCATTTTTCCTGTGATGTAAAGATAGCTTTCACTCAAACACATTTGTTATTAACAGGGAAGAAGCAAGAAAAAGAAGATTTCACTTAATAGCGATGGACGCCGTATCCTTCTGTTTTGTTTTTCTTGAAGTTTGAAGATGGGACACAGTATATGGTGAAACACTGGGATTTCTCAGTTATCACAGCAGTTGCCAGTGCAGCACCGGATACTGAGTAGTTCTTCAAATTAGCTTCTTTTTGTTGCCAAGATGTCTTTGTGAACGCTTCTACTCAGTAGAAGCATTTCCAGATTCTTCCTGTATGCTCATTTGTTCTGTTTGGGACAAAATTATTATACAGTGACATTTATTTAGACTGGCACAAAGACATTTGCACTTTCAGTTGAGTTTATAGGAAACATAATTCTGCATAAGGCTGCTATTATCTGTGGACAAATACATCTCTACTGGCAATTTAAGAATGTATTAGTTAAATCAAAAGTGTATTCAAAACAGCCTTATGTCCAGTAATGCCTTCTGCAGGTGCTCTAATGTAAGCCTATTTAGTAGCATGTGCAGTTTTATTTTATTTTTTTAATCTCTTAATCATATTTCATGCATAATTTGTAACTACTTTTATAACTACTACCTTCTTTAGTTTACAACCTTTCTCCTTTTATTTAGTTTTCACCTGAGGTAGTCATTACATGTTTTGACTGAGTGCATCTGAAATACCAGCACTTGCTTGTTTGTTTAAATAGCTGTTCTTAAGCAGTAACGATTAATGAATAGGAAAGTAAAAACTAATGAAATATGGAAGCACTGACTTAAATCTGGAAACTCCAGTAAACAGAAAGTAACTTCTCCTAACCTGCTTAGAATTTGACCAGGCACTATATCAACCATCATATGCCTGTAAAGGGGGCATATGTTGATCAGTCCCACTGACGTTGTAAACTGTCATTCGCCACAAAAAAGCCCATATATTCTTGAATGACTACTAAACTCATTGTGTAGAGACTTGTATGAGTTTCTGCTAATATTTTTGAGTGGTTCCTATTTAGAACCTTTACTGTTATGCAGCCTTAATGCCCAGTCACTCAAATGGCAGCACAAAATAGTATGTTGTGTTAAATGTTTTTAGTTTAACTTAAGCCTTCTGGACTTGCTTCTATATTCCTTCTGTATGTGGTGGAAAGAAAGAAAAAGACAAATACTGAGGTTAACTTAACTTTTTGGGGGCCTTTGGAAAATAAAATGTTTTCTCAATAAAATTCTAATGCATGTCAAAAGAGTGGGTTGATACAAATTGCTAACACTGAGGCAGTAGTTGCCAGGATATGTACCAGGAGATAGTGTATTTCCTAATTTGCTGCTTCAGAAACACTATACAAGTTATTTGAAAATATTTTTAAGTAGCTGTGTATAATGTTTTGTCTGTGAAGAGGCTTATTTTCTGCATAAGTAATTACATATTTTTGCTTAAATTATGATACAAAATGTGTTTCAAGTCATGTCTCCGGGGCCGAATTGTTCTAAAAAAAGCATTACATATTTTCCCGTGATTTTAATCTCCAAAGCAAAGCAGTTAACTTTTATTTGTATGTTGATGGTAAAAGGTAATAAATTGTTCCATTTTAGTAGCCAGACTATTTTTATAAAACAAAAATACAAAAAAGTTTAAACCAAAACTCCAGTACTAAGAAGCTGTTGTCTAAATTACAACTGAAAAAGTGAACCCAGTTTCTGTGTATATGCATACAGAGCATCTTTGAGAAAGGAAGGCAGTTTTAGAAAGGTTTGGCAGCTAAATGAGGTTTTAAAGATGAAATTGCCTTTAATTCTTGTATTTGGAAAGTAGCTTTTATAAGCAGTTATTAAGAAAAATTGCTAATTAATTCCTTTCTGGAAATTACTGAGCTGTTTTTGAGAAAAGAACTTATTTCTGTTAAGTATATAAAAAGTTTTTGTCATTTTTTTAGTTTTAAACTGCAGTAAGATAAAAGAAGTTCTGAAACAATCCTTAATTGCTTTATTCAGTATGAAAGACATAAAAAGTTGGTGAATGACTACATTTTATACTATGGTGGCAAAATAGAGGATTTCCGACGTTCTGGGTAAGAACCATTACAGTCTTTCCCCTCATGCCCCCAAAGATCCCCTGTTAATGTAAAGCCATTAAATATATATTATAGCTCTGGGGGGAGAGGGGGATGTAGCTGTGTATCAAATTAGTAATTCTTTTGGTCTCAAATAGTAACTACAGTCATTATAGATATCTAAACCACAGAACTGCACTGTTTCATTTTGCACCGTTATTTTTATATTATATAAAAACTTAACCATGAGATGAATTATTCTCGTTGTGTTACGTAAAAGGAAAGATGACAGGTGAGCATTAATTGAGGGTACACTGAGAAATAGCTGGCAGTCCCTTCAAAGTAACAATCTGAAATACTTCCGAAATGTGCAGAACTGCTGTCCATTGTCCAGAATAATGATAACTTTCTTTAGAGCTATCTGTAACTGCCTTCTAACATTACTGTCTTCAATAAACAGTATTTTAAAAAGTATTTTCAGACAGGGTCAAGTCATCTACAGTTTCAGTGGCCATTTTCCACTGTGAATTTTTCATTTGGGAAAAGGTATGCCAGGGAATACATTTTTTGAAAGTTTTATTCCATATCAATATATTCCATTATGCGGTGAGGTGGAGATTACAGCTGTGAAATACTGATGTTTACCAAATTATTATTTGACTGACTTTTCATTTTAATGTTACATTGTGTTAAAAAAAATGTGTCCTTTTATAGAGCAAATGACAAGACGGATCTTGATGTTATTAGAGAAAACCATAGATTCCTGTGGAATGAAGATGATGAAGCAGACATGAATTGGTACCTGGAACTATTACAGAATATGTTATTTTTAGATCACTTGTGCTAAATTTGTGATGCCCCCTACTAATTAAGAAGTACTGTGCATACTTAGTGATCATTTTTTAATCTTTAATGCATTTAGAAATGAAAGACCTCTAGGAGGTCTTTTATATCTTAGTATTTCTCAGCGGCATAATGAATCGATGACAGAACTAAGAAATATTTGTGCATTCTCTGAGATCCAAATGACTGTCCTGAAAACTCTGAAGGAAGCCTAGTTTGAAAAAGTGTAGTTTCATTTGTGCTGTAGATATATTTTAGATTTATTTTTCCAGTTTTATGGAAATTACCCGTTGGCTCAATGAGCGTATTTCTGTTACACTGCTAGCTTTGCAACTTGGGTTCTTCAGATGAAACAACATGTCTTTGTCTTGCGAATGTCGTTACAATGTAGAATGAATTGTAACATGTTCTATATTTAATAAAAAAATAATACTTTTTGTTATAGGGAGAAGAGGCTTGCAAAGAAGTATTACGATAAATTGTTCAAAGAATACTGTATAGCAGATCTTGGTAGATACAAAGAGAATAAGGTACATTTATTATTGTAAATCGTCTCGGGTTTAAAGTATGTTCTTTTTCAAAAATTGCCTTATGTTCGTGGATGTGTTGTGAAACCAGAATGTTAGTACCCCTTCCCTAGAAGGACAGTTGTGAGAACTTGTCAAGTTATTTAATAAGCAGCAGCAGTTTGAATCCAAGCATTGTCACTGCCCCAGAAATGTGCTTCTGTGGGAACAGGAGCATTTCTGTTGGTTGTTTTTTTATGAAGAGGTACATTGTGTGTAAGAAAGGCAGAAAATGCAGAGAGGTTAAGGAGAGAAGGCTAGAGAGGTTAGCCTGGAGAGAAGCACTAGATGAAGCCTAAAAAAACACTGAAAATGTTACTTTTTTTTTTTTTTTTAAAAAAAATAAAAAAACAGCAAGTCTAGAAAGAGAGAGTTTTGTACTTGAATGCTGGCAGAAACAGTTTTGGAAATGACTGTTCTAAAGCAACTTCTTTCGCTAGTTGTTCTTTTCTGTTTATAGAAACAGGATTTGTATGTTCTTTGTAAATAAATAGAATTTCTTAAGAGAAACAGCCCAATTCTAGCACTGTTTTTTCTTCTTAACCAGGACAGCCTTTGTCGTGTCCAATTTTTTGGCTGACTAACCTCTTAGTCAAAACAATATGTGAATTTTTTATTGTGATTTTGCAAAGAGCGTTGCTGAACTCATATGTGTCTGAGTGTTGTTAGAACATAGTAACAACCCAGCCCTGCAAACAGTGTCTATATAAAGTTCTTTGAGACTATTTATAGTATTGAAAATTACATTCACTGGTAAATATTTGCAAGGACTGGGCTTCAACTCTTAATATTAGGCAGAAAAGAAGACGATCTTCTAAAAAAAATTGGAACAGAAAAATGCAAAAATTAACAAAAAGTAAAATGCTGAAGATGTCTTTCTTTTTATTTTTGAGTAAATTGTATTTTATTTTCATATAGCTGTTTCATATCCCTCAACCTCTGCCCCCCCCCACCAATTTTTCCATTGAGCATGCTTACAGATTTTGTTTCTTTCGCTGCTGTGCCAAGTTTCCACATGTTTGCTGTCTTTTGTGGGAAAATGTTCTGCCCCAGTTTCCTTTTTGTGTGTGTGTGTTGTGTGAACAGTGTTTCCCTGTCAGACTTCAAACGTGGCTGTCCTGACTTTGAGGTCACTCCGCATTCCTGTTTATGCTCACAGGTCATTACCTATATTTTTGGAATTGTCATGTCAGCATAACTCTGCTGTGTCATGTAATTTGTTCTCTTATATTAGGTTATGCTTTCTGTTCTCAAATACACTCTGACCATGTGAGACTACTTTCTTAGAAATTCTTAGAAAAATAGAAAAAAAAGGTGTTTTTCTCAATTACTGATTTATCCGTGCCCATGCTTGGTACAGAAGGATGTCAAAGCAGGTTTTTTTCTTGGAAGTCAGAAATAGGCTGCTGGTCCCATTCACACCAATGGCATGCAGTCTATGCTTTCAGATTTTTCCTGCCTTGATTCTTTTTCTGCATTTCCAGAAACTGGAAGTTGAGTATCTTTAGCCCCTTGTGCCTTCTGTTTTGCAGTGCTGGTGCTATGAGAGGTGTAGGGTGGGTAACAAGCTTCTCAGCTGGCCAGCCTTTCATATGATAGTTGTTGATGCTTTATCTTCATATAAGAAAGAGATTTTTTACAATGAGAACATTCATTTGCTGGAACTACCTCCCCAGTGACATGGTAGAGTCCCCATCACTAGAGGTTGTCAAGATGCGATTGCACAGGGTGCTAGATCATCTCATCTAGGCTCCCTTTCCCATGAAAGTTTGGACCAGATGATCTTTTGAGGTCCCTTCCAACCTGGACCATTCTGTGATTCTATGGCTCTGTATCCTGCTAGGTGGTATCAAAGTAAAGTTGGAGATCAGTTTTCCGTGAGGTTTTATATATATGTGTATATATACATATAGCATAGATTGAGACTTGCAATACATAGTCATCTGTCTTCACAACTGTAATTTTTTGGCTGCTAGCCAAAATCTTCTAGCCAACCAATTCTTCTAAAGACCTCTGCATAGAGATTGTAGCTCAGGTCTCATTTATAACTTTTCTTCTCGGAAGAAACACTGTTTTGCTAGGTACTGGATAATGATAAGGACCAGTTTCATGGGAGGGGCTCTCCTGAGGTCTGAAAAGTAAGCGGAACACGTCGAAGACTGAAGCTCAAAAGAAAACAGCAAGAAGCCCCAAGACATATGAACCCCCACAGCCACAGCTGTGCTCCGGTTTCTGGTCCAGACTGTTTCACTCACAGATGTGCATGCATATGCATATACGCATATGCACACGCAGAGATGTCTGGGACTCCTCTGGTCCCATAGCAGAGCCCCCTGTGCTCTCATCCTTGGAGATACACAGGTGCTCTCCCACCCGGAGCTGGCTGGTGGAGAGCCACTCACTGTCCTTGCTCCCAGGCCACTTCACATAGCTGATGGCTAGGCTGGCTTGGTCTTTGCTGGCACTCACACACTCACGTGCACACCTGCACTCGCCTGGCTTGCTGGCACTGCAGGCAGATGGGACCCTGTGACCCACAGTCCCACTTTTCTTTGTGTAGTTAGGACATACAATCTTTTCCGTCTCTTTTAATGAGAAATGCCAAGGTGACCCTCTGGTATGAGACTGCTTAGAGACACTGGAAGAGTGTGCACTGACAGCTCTTGGTTGTGATGTATCTGTTACTCCTTACATTTTCCCTAGATGAGAATTTTTTAGGTCAAAGTTGTCTTTGAACCTTCAGCGCATCTTGTTTGCAAGATATGAGGCTGATAAATGACGGTCTGTACTGTCAGATAGTTGAGTTCTGTTGTCAGTTTTGCAATGCAGCAAGGGAGAGTGCTCTGCATGTGAGTTTCACTTTGATGCACGTTGGACTAGAAATGTTCTCTTCTCTTTGTTTTCTTACTTTCCTAAAAAGGTTCGTATTTGCTATCTGTACTTTGTTTTGTAGCTTAACAGATTGGAAATGTCTCCTGTTTGCTAAGAAGTGAAATCTGTCTGACACCTGGTCATTAAACAGAATACATTTTATTCTTTTGTTTTTATTTGCAGATAATTTTCAGATTTCTAGGCCAACTTGTCTTCCACTTGGTAATGTTAATGTTTGCTTTTGTCATTGTTTTGCAGCATGGAGACTTTCGTCTGAAAAATATTTAAAATACCTAATGGTATTTTTCCACAGTGTTGTCTACATTCATACATTTCTTTTTTTCTGAGAGATGACTGTGGACATGTTAGTTGTTGCTGCAGCCAGTGCGTATCACACAAACAGTCCGTATTTAATTTAGGAATTTCGTTGTGTGTGGATATTAAACACTATTTCACATTTTTAAAACTGTAATTTTTTATGAAGTTAGCCATTTGATACTCTTTTAAAGCACCTGTTTTGGAGTTCTTCTACTTGAACTTGGTCTACCTTGTAGAAATAGCTCATTTAGGATCTTGTTGAACTCGTTTAACAAAGGTGAGGCAGAATAAATGCTGTCTGCTGACCATGCTTTCGCGTTCCGTAATATTGCAGGCCGACTATTGAAGAATCTACCCTAATTTTTAGTTTTCCTACATAGTTTAATCTGTTCCTGATATTTTAGCTTAGAGCAATTAAATTACATTTACTTTTTATTTTATGTTTACCTTAGCCATGGTCGCTCTCTGTCATTTACTACTAGTTGGTGGAAGAATGATCGGCAAAAATTAACGTGGATGAGGACAACTTTTGTCCTAGATGTACTACAGGTGGTTCTGCCTCCCTCCTTTCTTTTGTTTTGCCTGTTTTTCTTGATATCACTACAGAAATGCTCTGCAAGGATATAATCTGATTTATATCTTATTGAGTCAAGCTCAGACTGTGAGGGAAAATTTGTATAAAAGTGTACTTCAGCAGCAAAAGCGAGCATAGATAACTTGCTGATTGGTGAAGTAGATGTACTATGAAAAAGCATACATGCAGACAAGGTTGATTTTTTTTTTTTTTTAACTTTTCATTGCCAGCAGCAGACACTTGCAAAATTCGTGACAAAATACTGTTGAAGTTTAATCATAAACTTACAGTATTTTTCAGTTGCATCATAAACTTTTCAGAATCAGAATACCCTGTAAAACAGCAAATATCCTTTAAAAGAGCAAAACCAGTTACCGTCACTCTGTGGATCCACTGGTTTCCATTATGAATTCTATATTTACAGATGTATTTTACATTCTCTTTTCACTGAACAGTTCAGCACAGTTCTTGGTTTTTAAAATTGATGAATTTTTGTTTGAAGCATGAGTGGTGTAATGGTACTTTAGACCACACTGCACATTTTTAGAGTAGGCCAAACACAGCCTGATCCAGCCTTAGCAAACTGTCATCGTACACAGTATGACAACAGAACCTGATCTTCTCCTGTGATTTTTTTTTTTTTTTAACCAGTGAAACCAGTAGGTGTGAAAACATTGTTTATGTTGTAATACCAGTTTGAAAATTAGTGGCAAATATTTTGCTGGTGTACAAATTTTTTGTTTTCTTAGACATCTTCTATGTAATATATTGACTTGGGGAAAATCAGTGCCAACAAAACATTTGGCTACTGATGTTTTTCTGCTCATTTTTTTCAGCTTTGTTATTAAAATGCAAAGCATTTGTATGAGAGTATGGCACATTCTTAAAAGCCAAAACTTCTGTTTCCCTGTGTTTTCTGATGTTCTCTGAACCACGTACCACTTCATGTATGAGAACTCCATGCTGTTGTCCTTCAGATAAAGAATTATTATGATTTATTAAAAAAAAATCAACAACATTAAAGACCCTGCACAGCAACAGATACCTGTACTTCTGTACACTGTTTAAAATTAGATGAAAACCATTGAAAATCAGTCTGGTATATTACAGAGTTTATGCCACTGCATCTACAAAATGCGTGTTTGTGTGGGTTCAGTCTGTGAGTGCACCAAGAAAAGTTTCATATTCCAAAGGGTGCTTTGGAACTCATATGCCAAAGATGGGCTTTATACCCTTCTGGTTTTGTAACCCTTCTTCCCCGTCTTCCTTCCACATCTTCTAACATGAAGTTCAGATTCTTCTGCGCTTTGCTTATAGAGCAGCAATTTTATCTTGTTGTTGTCCTGCGTTCATGAATTTTAAATAAAAATATGATAGCCCTTTTTGAAGAAGTTGTGTGCCTCTTGAGTTTTATCCCCTCTTTCTACTTGTTAGTGAAAATAAAATTGTTTTTCCCAGGCTGTTCTCACTCTTTTCCATCTTAAGTCTTTTCGCTAGGCTACTTGCCGTTTTGAGAGGATGAAGCAGATTCTACTGGAAAACAAAAATAATGCATGGGTTATCTACATGTGAAGTTTCTAGGCAATGTACAGAGAAATACAACTTAGTTGTTCGACTGTTTTTTTTTGTCTTAGTCTTTAGGATGTAAGAGTTGATCCATTGGTACGGGCTAGTATGACTTTTCAGTATTCCAGTGGTCTTCTCAGTTTTTAGTGTGGACAAAATTGCAATGAAGTATGTAGTAAAGTCAGTCTGCCTTAATTTCCTATTTGTTCTTCTGCCTGCTGTGAAGCCTTCTAGGAAGTTGCTGCTCAGTACTGAACAGCATCTACTGGAATTTGAATTGCATATGTAAATTGGAATCCCACTGGCGGGCAGAGGCTAAGAGATATTTTAATTAACAGGGAAATAAATTAAATTTACTAAGCAGAATTGAATGGATGAACCATGTGCAAGACATCAATCAACTGAAATTAGTCTTTACATTACTGAATACGTTGACTGTTCACAACTTAATTGTGGTTCTTATCTTGACAGTTTGGATTTAGATGGCGACACGAGAAAGAAGTAATTTCAGGAAAAGGTAATGCTCTCCTCCTTTTTATATTATGTTTCTCCTTAATGCTTTTCTTGCTGCTTTTTGACATAATTTTCTTAGACAGTATTTAACAATACCGATAACTTGATCAGATAATAATGGACAATAAATTGACCTAACTTCTAACTTTGCTGTTTTATGCCACATAGCTCTAGAGTGCACACTGATCTGCATATATGAAAACTAAGAGAATATGTGGTTTGTTTTCACAAGATTGGATTTGTAATGACCACCAACATAATGCATTTGATAATGTAGAATTTCACGGATATGTTCTTTTAGCTGCTTTTCTCCAGTAGTTCTAATTTACCTCATTAGTCTTTGATACCTTTAACTGAAATATTTCAATACTTCTTCTCAGGGAACAATTTTCTTGAGAGTTTCTCCAATGCTATTTGCAAAATGTTAACTTTTTAATTGAAGTTCCATGTCTGATGTCTGGTTTAGGCTAAATAGCTTTTCAAAGCTTCAGTGGGAATCAGTAGGAATGGTTGTCATGTCTCGCGATCCTGTTTCTAAATCCGTACCTTATTCTGGCTGCTGCTGTGTGTGAGTTCTTACTGATGCGATACTGGGACTTGCGCAGTGGTCCCTATTCCATGGCCAAGGCACAGGGACTTTTTCAAGTAGCTGAACAAGCGAGAAAATGGTGTGAGTGTATTGCTATTCCTGTGGGTAGATCTTCCTACACATGTATGGTTTTCAGAAGTCATGCATGCACACTCAAGAAAATTGCATGGAGTGATATGTTGATCAGAACAGCTCTTTAAACGGCTCTATTTATTATAATATATTACAAGAAGTTAGAAATAAACTTTTTTTTTTTTTAAAAAAAAAAAGGTTATATTTCACAGGAGAAGGTGTGAACATTAATGATGGGGGGGTTTTTGAACTGTAAAGGTTAAAGCTCCTGAAGGTAGTTGTAGTTATATGTTGCATTCAGCACTACAGATTATATTAACGGATAGTTACACTTTATATTGTTACATGCTTTATGGAATATTTAAAAAAAATTAAAATTAAATGAGAATTGAGTAATTTATGAACAATTATGTCTTCATGGGGAAAAATAATTGTAATTTTAATATCTGGTACTCCAGATTTAAAAATGTGGGAGAAAGTGCAGAATTACATGTTTTAAGCTTTTTAGTGAAATCCTGATGGAAAGCGTACAAATAAAGACTTAAGAAATAGTACCTTTCACCACTAAGGGGCGCAAGAATTCAGCCTTCTCTCGTGTATTAGACGCTCATTTCAAGCACTGTTTCATATAGCCATTTAAAAGAAGGCATGAATCTTTAATGCCTTTCTTTTGCTACTTTTAAGTATAAATCAGTAGTATTTAATTAAATGTAATAAAGCATTAATACCTATGTGTCTGATAGTTCACACGAAAAAAAGGAGAGCGTGTGCTTATTTTAGCTGTGACAATAACAGCAATGGCGAGAACCATTGGACCGTGGTGTGGTTTGGGGTATCTTGAGAAGGGAGCATAGGAATGGGTTACTCACGTTTGGGTGCTTTGTTTTCGAGGTCCGTCTTTGTGAGGTCATGGAGAAGAAGGGTTAGGACAAGTGAAAGGAGAGGTGTCGCCTATATTACTCATTGTAAATGCTAGGATTATTCCTTTCTCTTCTTTCCCACTCCAGTCTTCTGCCATAGGTGTTTTGAAAGTAGGTCGTATTGGAGATTGCTGTTGTATCTTCTTAAAGTGTAACCTTAATGGCAGTAAATGGTGTAATATGTTGCCAGTTTCAATAAATGGTTCCACAACATGGTCATTGTCTTAATTAAAATCTTTAGGTAGAAGCCCTAGTTTAAATTTTGTAAATCAGTGAATAGTAGGCAGATGAGTTAGTTGGTCTGAAAACAAATCCTTAAAATCTTTTAAACTATTTAAAAAATACATTTGACATGCATTCCCAAGTACTTTTTCTCTACTTTCAAAGCAAGAATAGTAAGGTATAGGATAAAATTTTAAAATAAAAGGTATTCTAGGCAAAAGGCAATAGTGCTAAAAGTTTTCTGTAGGAAAATAGGTAGCAAGTTCATTGGGTAGAGGTGAAATAGGACTTCTTCAGCAATAAGCAGAAAGAGCAAAGCTGAACGTGTGGGTATATTTGCTGTTTTCTACTTATTTGTATTTGTAGATTAAGTAGTAAAATACTCAAACCTGACACATAATTTGGCAAAATAGAGTTTAATACCTGCAAATCGATCTAGTCTCTGTTTTTTTCATAGTTTCATTGAACTAACATTTCACTGTTTTAGCATAGTAGTATCTTTCTTAGCCTATTTTATATATACATAAATAGACGTATTATATGCTTTACCTTATTTAAACAAATGTTCTTCCAAATACATTTCCATTAATTTTTTTCCAAGTAATTTCCTCCATGGAAAATAGGTAGATTATCAATACCTGGGTAGTGCACCATGTATCCATGTACCAGTCTGATACATCTGAATTCTGATCAAAATGCATTAAAGTCTGTCTTTCGGCTCTTTAGGTTTCCTTAGTAATTTTCAGTACTTTGTTTAGCTTGTAGTACTTACACTTTCTGCCTATTCAGCTCTTCTGCAAGAAGCAGAAGGTGCTAATGGTTTTTGAAAGCACACATTTAACAGCCAGATTATAGGAGTTACAATTCTGAAAATGAAGGCAGTAACTTCCCTGCAGCTTGCAGCAAGGTGACAAGACTTCAGATAGAAATGGAATTTTGGACATAGATTTTTCTTGCTGGTGAAATTAGGTAACTGTCCACTCAGCACACTGGTTTCTATGTCTTTGTTTCTTGGACATCTAACTATCGGAAAAGTCATGTTTCAAGTACTGAGTGATCTGGTCCATAGTTCCCTTTGATTTGGGTTCCCAATATACATGATGGGGATTGTAATGATCTCTTACTTTGCAAAAATATGGTTTTTAATGCTTTTATGACATTTAGGTATACTAGAGTGATAAACACTACTAAAAAAGCCCTCAGAAAGAGTGGAATTCTGTATTCAAGTCAGGATTTGAATATGTGTGAAAGGGGGGTGAGAGAAGCCTGGCTGTCTATATGTGTGTATGGCATGGAGCAGGGATCTACTGGAAAAAAACCCACCATGATTTCAAATATTGAGGTGATCATAAGTGTGAGTAAATGTGTAAGGGCACAGAATTATGGTGCTTTACACAGTCAAAATCTGGTTTACCTAAGAATTGCCTTAGCAATTTGAAGAAATTGTTCCAGCTATGTTTTGTTTTGAACATACAGCTTCACAGCCAAAATGTAGAATATCCAAAATGGCTTTTACATACTGTAAAGAGCAGCTAATCATAAATAAAACTGATGTATCTCTCTTTCTCTCTGCCTATTTTTCTGGGTTTATTTGGGGATTTTTTTTCAGAAGATGTGAAGTAAACAGAGTCTGGTTAAGTTCCAGGAAGTTTTATATAGTACAAATTTTTCCTTGTAGATTTTTACTTCTTTGTAACAGTTATAAATTATTCCTGATGACACAGGGTACTGATAGCCATAACTTTCATAGGGTTAAACATATTTAATTTGTAATTTATTTTTTTTTGTGGAAGTCCTGGGATTTTTTGGTTGAAGTGTTAGCACTGCAGGTGGTTTTACATTGCAGAACTGAAGTATCTGAGGACACTGCCAATCCATTGGTTAACAGCTTAAGCAGAATGTTCTGAGGTTAATCGTTCACCAGCACTCCTGCTTGTGATCCTGTTAATACACATCCTTACCACCAGCTCTGCATACAAATCAGTCTTCTGCAAAGGGAATATATGTATCTTTATTACTGCAATACTGGGAACACAGTCGCATAAACATTGATTATGTGCAAATTGTTTTGAAATTAGTGTTGTTTTTAACATAGTAAACCCAAGGAAGCTTTTAAAGCTGCTATATAGTTTCTCATAGAATTGGATTTGCTTTTGTTAAAAGAAAAGTGTTTATGGAAAGTCATTCGAATACAAATTGTATGACCAGTATATCAGGTAAACTATTAAGGTAATAAGAATATGGGCATCTTAATTTTGTACGTACATGATACTTTGAATAGTTTGATATCATTACAGATGTATGTCTAAATTGCACCTCCTGATCCATCAGCCTCTGTTAAATAAGTAATCATTTAAGACGTAGAATGTATCCTAGTGACATGCAGAGTTCAGTATTAGGCTTATTATTTCATAACATAGGCCTGCATCTATACATTGTAAAACACAGTTCAAGTTATGTCCTTTCTTTGCAAATATGCAAAGTATGGTTGATTGCTTTGGCATTAGCTGTTACTGTTTCCTTAATCGAGATGTTACTTTTAGATTTGGGCTTTTTTATTTGAAAGAATTGGAAAACTAATAGCAAAAACTGAGCAAAACTGGAGGTGACAACCCCAGACCTATGCTTGTTAATCATTGAACCATGGTTTTCTGTTTTTGACCTCTTTAAAGGCCAGTTTTCCTGTGGAAATAAGCACTGTGATGAGAAAGAAGGTCTGAAGAGCTGGGAGGTGAATTTCGGTTACGTTGAACATGGTGAAAAGAGGAATGCACTTGTGAAATTGAGTAAGTCAGCCGTTTAAGGATACGTACACTTAGAAGAAGTATCTTGTGCTTTTAAAGCTATGAAGTGAGACCCAATGATAATGATATTAGGTCATGGAAAATGGAAAATGCTGAATAGGAGATAATTTTGCTAAATTAATTACAGGTAGTATGATGGTCTTGATTTAGAGAGGTCGACTTTTATCATATATGACAAAGTTGTTACAGGGTGAGCACTTCATGCTGTAGAATTGGTGGTGTCATAACATTAGAATAACTGATCATAAGCTGTTTTCTATACAAGCATGTCCAGTTTTAACAGACAATACTGCATTGCAAGGAGGGTTTCATCATTACCATTGCTTAATCAGTTATGTGGCTTAGGAGTTCTTAGCACTTGGGACCAGGCAACTTCTTGCACACTTCCAGCTCTACCAATTTTATTTTTAACGCTTATGTTTTCTTTCAAAAATTCTAACTTTAATTAATCACTTCCTTTTCCTGTCTTGGCTCTTGAGTGGGATTTTATTATTTAATGTGGTGTACATTTTGATATGTTCATCAGATAATTAAACTTATCACAGTTTACACAGCTATGTGGTGTAAAACAAGCTAATAGTGTTTTTTCTTTTGTGCGCAAGGCACTGAATCTGGCAGCACTTGGTCTCTGGCAAAGCTTCAAGAGACTTGCAGCTCTTCAGTATAATTGTAGAACAGTTTGATCTGTCCACAAAGATCTATAAAATGGGATGTCTGTAAGTGACAAGCACTGATACTTTTTTATGAATAATTTCCAGTGCTAAACCTGTGATCTCTGTCCAGTTTAGTACAATCTGGGTTTGTACTGAAGACTTTTATTGTGGTATTTTTGTCAACCCTGGCTGCAATTACACTGTAACTTCTGTTATGAAGGAAAAGCTACTGAAATTGGAATATAGTGTTCTGCCTAGTTTTATGTATGTATTACTAAGTTTTGTTAATTATGCTTATCAAATACATGGATGTAATGTTCTCATTCTCTCTTGTTCAGGACTATGTCCAGAATGTTCCTACAAACTAAACTTTCATCACCGGTAATGAATTATTTTGAAAATATGGGGGCTGAATTACTGATAGATTACAGTTATGATGAACAACAAATAGGGGGAAAACTTCAGCTAGATGATTAGGAACTACATTTATGCTGAAATAGATTCTGTTCTGGAGTTCTTATAAAGTTGCTGGCGTGACACTGTTGAGAGTTAGACATTGTTGTGCTAATGAAAGTACAAAATCCCTCAAACTGGAAGAATCCCATCCCCACCCCCACAAAAGCTTCCTTTGCTTAATTTCAGCCAAGTGATTATTTTTCTTTTCTGAAGGTTTATGCAAAACAGTCTTTTTGATTTTCCCTCTTGCTGTGTTTAAGAGCTGAAATGCTTTTCCTTTTCTTAAAAATAGTGGTTATATCTGTGAGCCAAAGGACTGTGCATTGAATTTTTATTTCTTTTTTTATTGTTATTTATAATCTTACAGATACCAAATTTCTATGATTTTCTGAATCTCGATGTGGCATTAACTTAGTTGCACAGCTCAGTGATGAAGCCGTACAATTACCTGAAAAGCATATGAAAGGGAAACCTTTGAGCTAGGAAATGAGGATTTCTTTTTTAAAGTAACACAAATCAAATGTGCATCTAGATGGATATATCCAAGATAGTTCATTGATCCATTTCAAAAGTTAGTTCATATTCAGTTTCATTAAGGCACTGTGTAGGCACATATTAAGAAGGAGTATTAACTCAGTGAGATTAGTTTGATTTGTCTTGCTTCTTTTTGGAACTAAAATTGTAAAACCACTCGAATTCAGAATAATCATGGTCAAACATTTTTTCTTTGTCAACTGCAGTATAATACTTACTTTGAAACAATTTTAGTGACTTCTTTGTGCAAAGAAACAGGAAAAGTTAGCCTATGTTCATACAATAAACCTGTGAGTAATGCTGAAAAGAAAATACATGGGTGGTTGGAAATACATGGGTGGTTAGTCTGCAGCAGGTTTTTAGGCTTAAGATTCTTCTACCTCAGGTTTTGTCACTATCAAATATGAAAATGTATTTTAAAACCTTTATTAACTGTGTTTTTCTCATCACACATACAGAATTGTTTGCTAAAAGAAAAAATAAGATTTCAATATAAATAATAATTTGGCATGTTATAAAGTTATTTTCTGTATTTAATCTTTGATTGCCAATTCATTGATTTTGTTGCCTGTATCAATGTCATTTTAGCAGCTTTAGCGTTTCCTGTCCTTTGTCTTTAGCTGTAGAGCTCTAGTGTTTCTATAACACTTTTCATTTTAACTAAATTCATTTTTTCATTTCAACTAGTGATAGGTTTCAGAAAAAATGAGAACTGTTTGACTGACTGAAATGTTTAAGATTTACTGTTGCTTGAGGAGTATGTATAACAGAGAAGGTGTACGTTCATTTTTCTTAAAGGAGGAAAGAAGTCAAAGCACACAAGAAAAGAAGCATAGACGTACCGAACTCTAAAGAGCCAAAAATGAAGAAGACAAAATTATCTTGTTCAGCAAAAAAGAAGTCAAAAAAAAAGACCCATAAAGGTAAATTAAAATTTAAGACCTTTGATTTTTTTAAATATTCAGGTAAGTTAATTGAATCTTAGTTTTGCTGTAGCTACATATGTATAGATATAGATATGTAATTATGTATAAATATGGGTATATAACTTTCCTGACTGTGTAACTCAGGTAGTCAAAAAGATACATTTCTTACGTAAATTTCCTAGGTGCACAGAGAAGATAAATTTGGATAAAAAAGGAGGTAAATTTCTTACATTTTACAGAGAGGGAGAGCCTTTTGAAAAATGCATTGCAAAGAAAATTTGTCCAAGAATTGGACATTGCATACCGTAAAGGGCTGTGAAGTATTTAATTCCTTGAGGCTTTGGGGTTGAAAGCCTTTTGGAAATGTTAGATAACCTTTTTACACCACAGATTTTGGGATAACGTATTTGAGCTCAAACTGATGACCTTTGAACTCATGCAAACAAAATCTTACTTCAGTGTTTGCTTGCTTTCTGTGAATGTATGGTGTGTGCGTGCATGTGCACATGTTTATGTGTAATATATTGTGATAGAAATAGCTTTGTAAACAGTTTTAAGATAACAGATAAAATGAAGATAAGTTTACTATTTTTTAAATGATGTTTCTTTCCAGATCAGGTTTCTTCAGAAGAGTCAGATAGTTCTGATAAAGGTAACGTATTTGAATATCTTCTGTATTTTATGTTTTTGTAGTAAGTTATATTATTTCATGGTCATTTGTGATTGGTCTTAGTTTTACTCGTTGGCAGTTTTGATATTTTAAAAGACGGTAAGAATGCTGTGTGAAAACAAGCAGAGATATGAAGGGTCAAAATAATTACTTACAAATTCTTGGAGAAAAACTTAAGAGATTTTTTAGAAGGAAATCTTTTAAGTAAGGAATAAAAATGTGGGCAGAAAACATAATGGAAATAATCAGAAAAAGAAGGGGTCAGGTTATTCCATATAAGAGTAGAGGGTTCAAAAATACGTACATTGTTAATAATTACATGGGTCCAGGTATGCAAATATATGCTGTGTTACGTGTGCTGTGTAAAGAAAGTAGTTTTGCTATATAAGAACTACTCCATTTCCTTTCAGGGGATGATACTATTATGTATTCTACTCAGAAAAGTAATAGATTTTAAGTAAATCCTAGGCTTTAACTGAAGTCTTTTCCAGCTACCACCTGTAGTACCTTGGAGACCTACTTCTTGTGGGTGGAATCAGTCTCCGTGAGCCCTTAGGCACTGGTTGTCTCTCTATCTCAGTCCCCAGTTTCCTTTTTGATGAAACAAGCCCCATCTCCTGGTCATGCCAATTCTTGCTGCAGACTGTCTAGAAGGGACTGAGTGTTTCCACTGATTGCTCTGCTGTGCTGTACGTTTTTAGGAATATCCTCAGCACCTACGTTTTCCCAGCGAAATACAGGAAGACCTGAAGCAGTCTCAGACCATGCCCTAAGTCTCTGTTTTGTCAGGAAAGCTCTGTTGGAAGATTGGGGTTTTTTAGGTCAGGGCATATTTCTGGTAACAACATTTTTTTTTGGTTTTCACCCCTTCTGTATACTTACACGAAACTGTTATGCAGTAATCCATGTTTTCTGACATGGTAATTTACAACTGATAAAAGTTGTCATTCAAATAGAAGTAGCATAATTGATTCATTTAATATAATGAATTGAAACTGTGTTGTAATTCTGTACTTGTGATTATAAACTCTGAATTTTAGGAATTTTAGGAATTTGCTGCTGTTGTGTCAAGATCAGTGTTTTGACATGATTGTTGTTATGTTGGGCCAAAAAATTAGTTCGTGATATCTAAGAGTATTTTTGGTGCTGTATTGAATAATATCAGAAATGATTTTGTTTTTACTTTGTGCAAAGTAAAGTGTTCTTTTTATTCTCGTGGTTACAATTAAACATTGCTCCTAGCATTATGCCATCTAAATTAAAATAAATTATTTTAAAATTTATTTCATAAGCACTTTATTTAACAGATTCAGATAACAGCGATGCACAAGATGGCCCTTCAGATGCTGACTTTTGGAAAGGTCCTCTACAAGAAGCAGATGAAAAATCACGGTTAGTTTGATCTAGTGAACTTGTAGCTAGTAAAACAGACTGTGTCCATTCAGAACTGAAAAGGGAGAGGTTTTTTCCTGAGTGTTTTACTGAATATTCTGACATTTAGAATTATGTCAGATCTCCTTCCATGTGGTGAACCTAAGTATGTTTTTTTAAAGAGGAGACATACACAAGACTGGGGGAGAAACACATGTAAAGCCATGCCACTGCTGTCTTACCCCCTACCATACCATTAACGATCTTAGAGACAAATCGTAACAGTCAGCTCACTGCCGTTGCACAGAAGGGGGGAAACGTGAAAGTTATTGGAATATATTAAGTCAAAATGGTCTATACGAGCTACAAATTCTAATCAGAAGTCTGCTGAATCTTTTTCATACAAAGATTATCTCCTAGGTACAGATCCAAAGCAGAACTGCCTTTGACTTTTTTGTGTGTGTTGGGTTTTTTTTGACAGGGAGGAGGAGTTTGATGAGTATTTTCAAGACTTGTTTCTCTGAAACTTCATATTGATGGAGGCTGATTTTCTTCATGAATTGTCAAGATAGAAGTCTGGAAACCCAGTCATAATTGGAGACCGGAGACCTCTTCCTGCCAGCATACTTTTTCTGCAGTCACTCATATGGACCACCTCAGTAGGTTATCTTTGTAGAAGGCTTCAGGTCTAAAAAGTTTCTTTTTCTTGTGGTGGGCTGTATACCCATGAAATAAGAGAAGTAATTGTTTCAGTTCAGTGCAAAAGATATATGGCACCCAAACTTAAAGCGGGAAGGATGTAAACAGAGAAGAATATAGTTCATTGACATTATATTAAGGAAGTTGGCTTTTATCCCAAACTTCAGTTATTGTCAGATTTGTGAAAAGGGACATTTTGGAAGATTCTGTTATTAGTTTAAAGCCATACACTTTAATATATTCATATTTCTAATTTATTAAACAAGGAGTTAATAGCCTTAAATGTATTGGTCACGTAGACTTTAATATTTGGGTATTAGTCTCTGTAAGTATTTTCAAATGCTGTTGGAGAATTTCAGTTTTTATAAAATATGTATTTTGCTTGAATTGAGTAAACCATATCTGAAATGTCTCCCCTAGTCCTTAGAAAAGTTTAGTTCATTGTGACTTTATTTTAGATTTTAGTTAGAATATGATGTGACTGATAATTCCACTTATAAAAATCTGGTTGATTGGTGAAATTTTTGATGTAAAAAATAAAGTCTGTGCTTTCTACTTGACGTGTACATGTGACTTGTATGTTATCTGTGGTTTCTGATCTCCTTAACATTGATTGGATGTTAATCCTTCTTTAAAGTGTAATCCTAAATATATAAGTAAGGAATGTATATTGCTTGAGAAACTTACTGGATTCATCTTCCTCTTCAAATTACATCACAACTTTAAACATTCTTTATTTTATGTTTCCAAAGAAACAGTTGTCACATGAACAGTTACAGTGGCTATTTTCTTTGTCGGATGAAAATTACTTTGGATATAAAGGACAAACTTTTTTTAATTAAATGTTCATGTTAATCTGAGCAAAGTTAACGTTGTATAAAATATATTTTTGAGAAGTACTTCCCACTGTAGATATATTTATAGAAAGTATTTATACTAAATATTTGATGTGGAAAATGTAACAGCAGAGATGGTTGCGGTGTATATATGAACATTTTACATGCATTCATATGAAGAAGTTGAGAACTCTATTTACAACTATCACTTAACATAATTACATTTGAAACAGTTTGTACTTACATAATAGATGACAGTACAAGGACGTACTTAGGGTGTCCTTGAGTGAGAAATAAATGTAGCCTTGCATGAAGGCTTCTTTAGATAAGAAGGTGGATTTAAAGGTTAATTCTCTGTCAACTTGCAAGCTTGGTTGAGAGTCAAATCCAATCTGCAGCAATCTGCTTACATGTATGCAACTTGCCCGAGGGGGCTTTTGTCGAATGTGTCACTGTATTTGTTGTTTGAAGTATTGTGTATGATATGTTCTGGATAACTAACTCCTCTTTGGGTCTTCAAAGTACTGTTATGAAATGGTACAGTATACATAGTAAATACATCATTTAATACAATTTGAATAAAATTACATTATTAAACAACCTTGAAATAGCTTTGTTTAGTACCTGCATTTAATACAGAAAAGAATACATGATACCCAGTTTTATGTGATAACTAAGTTTGCCTAAAATATGTGGCCTGTTTGTAAGTAAGGATGTAATAAGTGGGATGTCTTTTGTGGATTCCTTTAATTTGGGGGGATAGCTGTACGCAGTATCTGTATTCATAGAGCATTCATAGAAAGGTATATAATATGGCAAATCACTCTTCTCGTTTCTCTGTGGATTCTGAGGGTGCTTCAGAGGAAAAAAGAAAAGTATGGGTCTGCTTTCTTTAAAGGGGGAAGAGACGTGACAGGATGAAGTCTGCATGTCAGACGTGTCAAATGCAATTCCTGCAACAAACATCCATCTCCGCTTAGATTTGGAGCTTGTTCTAGCGAACACTCAGACCAGTGCGTAGTGCACTAGCTGTTTTCCTTCCGTCATCTGCAGGAGGAGCTGGCTTCATGAGACCTGAGTAGAAGGCATGGAGTGGAGTCATTCTTCAAGAACAGAAGGTTTTGCTAGGGAGATTGTTGTTGATGAAGACCTAATTTATGTGCAGTCTTTCTGCTTAGTTTCAGAAAGGGAGGTAATGTGAATTCTGGTGTGCTCTACTTCTGCTGTCCTCTGCCTCCCAAGATTAAGTTGGTGCCAGTTCATTGGTTTTCAAATACTTTCATTTACTGCATTTTAGAAAAGGTGCGTTAGGAGTACATGAGCCTTCTAAAATGCCTTTGAATGTAGATCCTGCTGTCGATGTATAGGTGTCTTGGTGAACTCGTATGCAAAGTATGATGTTTATGGTCTGCCTTTTTAGATTTTTACGATAAAAGGTGGTCAGTTTAGGAACTGTGGGCAGAGCCATTTGCACATGGGCAAAAGAGTGTTTTTTCGGAGCTATGGCTACCATGTACAGATTTATCCTTGGCAGTTCAGAAAATATACTGTGTACCGTGGACCTGCTTTTAATAATTATGAGCCAGGGAATTGTGTTGAGTATTCTTAAAGTGAAGGAGATGTTTACTCTGGAACTTTTTATGGTACTGAGAATGAAGGAAGAGGACAATTCCAGATTAAGGAAAGACGCATAATATAAAAATCTAAATATGTAAGTTAGAAAAATCACAATTTTTCATTTGAATTGTACATGTTAGATTCCATTCAGTAATTTCATATAAGATCTGTCAAAATAATTTATATTTTTTCTGGACAATATGCAGAAGTTACATATTTTAATAAAATTGCTATATGTAAATTGAGTGACGTGAAAAAATATCTGGAGTAGAGCACACAGTTAACTCATTTTGCACCATTATTTTTCTTTTAATTTTCCAGTTTTTATTTGTACCTTTTTTTTACCCCGTTAAAAATTATTTCCAACGAATGGCAAGTGTTTAAGAGGATTGTTAAGAGATCATTCTAGACTATTCTATGCGAAGCAGAAATCCAGTGGGGCTCACTGAAGTTCCTTCTAGATGTCTTTTCTGTAGCAGAAGCAGTGTTTGAGAGAAAGAATTACAAAATTATACATGTTTTGGATTTTCCATCCTCTCCACTTCCGCCACCACCTCCAGCTGCATTTTCAGCTAAAAAACAGAGAAGGAAAGTAAAGTGAGTATTTTCTGTTAATTGTAGCTGCTCTAATGTCTTGTTAAAAAGGTGTTGCTTTTGTGATACACATATAATGTGTGTTTGACCTTCTGAAAATTGAACATGAACTACTTGTCTGGGAAAATGGAATAAGAAGCAGTAACACATGGTATATATACATACATGTATATAGTGTAGCAGCTGATACCAACATTTCTCAAAGGACCAAACACACACTGAACCACTCTTACTGGAAAGTTTCAGTAGTTAAATACACATACCTCTGGCCCACACATACAAAACTGAGGTATGCCAGCCATGCAAAAGAAACAAACTCTTGGATCAATATAATCTGTGAATCTTTTGGAAGCAGATGATACAAAAACTTTAATTTGACCTAATTGTATAAGCCTTTATCAAACCCTGCATGAATCCCTTTGTAGTTACCAATTGAGAGAGAGACACTTTCCAAGTTTATTTATAACGACTGATTCTGTTACTGTCTCTCTCAAATGATTCCACAGATGTTCATTGGTCATAGTTAAGATTCTTTCAATATAATGAACTGCGTTTCCAGGTTCACTTAAGGTAAGATACTAATATTAGAATTAAAACTTACATTTGAAAGCTGTGGATCACCATGTTACTAGGTCATTTTCGACCCTTTCCACCTGCATTGAAACATGTCACATAATCAGTGTCCTACCCTCTGTAATTTGTGGATATAATTAACACTATGTTGCTACCTATGTATTTTATTTTCTTAGTTTAATACTGCATTCTGTTTTAGTTTCTGTTCTGAACTTTCCACTGTAGTGGTTCAGCAAATATGTTTATTTTGTTTTCTGCCTACCGAATAAGTATGAATAACCAGGTCAGTGTGATCTAGAGAAACCACCGTGGTTCAGCATGTATCAAATTGTTTTGTATGAACTGACTTAAACTTGTATATTTACATCGCCTTGATTTGACAGTGTCAGATCTGTTCTTCACAGATGTGCATGGCCTCATTCCAGTGCACATTTAAAAAGATGCAAAATAATTCACTTACATTTAGTGATACCAGCTGTGATATGCAAAGGTCAGATCCTTAGCTCCTGCAAATCAGTCTGTCTATGTTTGCCTGTGTAAGCTTCCTTCTAGGAAAATACTTCTTTCCTTAAGTCAGTGTTTAAGTGATTCCAAAATACCAGTGATGTAAGATGTCCTAACTTCAAGTAGGAGTAGAAATACAGGAGTCTTCCTAAATATATAATTTATTTTTTATTTTAAAAACCTTATGCTTAAGGGCATAGGATCAGACTGTAGTAACTATAATTTTGCCAAGAAAGCAAATGTATAAGGAGATCTGTGTGTAGGTTCTGGGTTGTTTTGTTTTGTTTTGCTGGTATTTCTGTGAAGTTCAGATGCTTACATTCCAGTGTAAGGAAAGAGGACTTTATTCATACTCACAACCAGGTAGTTCTCAGCAATAAATTGATCTTAAATAAGATTATATGATTAATTGCAAAAAAGTGTCTTTCAAAATAAATTTGGAAAACAGTGGGTGGGCATAATTTTGGTGAAAGTGTGTTTAAGTGGTATCACAGTGTGAGTAGGCCAAAATATTTCTTGTAATTTTATTACAATAATAATATTTGACTCAATTTGTTAAATTTCTCATTGAAAAGTCTGCTTTTATTAAGTCATGTAGCTTTACAGTACTTTTTTTAACCACTTTGCAACAACTTTTTTTTATTTTAGCTTAGTATTATTTATTTTAGGAGCTAATAACTCTCTAGTTCCACTTCACACTC